TATCTTGCTCTACTTCTGTGCTATTTATCTAAATGCAACAAGAGGTATTTGCTACAGCACAGACTCCACTTTATGGGGCTAATAAAAAATCTAAGCCTATTCTGTTATCTAATGCCCCCTGGCTAATGAGGTCAGAGATCGCTGTTGTGTTTCCATTCCATTAGCAACTTCATCTGCTATTTGTCCCATGGTGATTGATAAATTTCTTAAAGATTTCTCCAATTCAACTATACCATAAGTACAAATAAAAGCTCTTAGAAATGACCAACCCCACCCTGAGTGTTGGACCAATGGGTTTTCTTCTCTTATTTTACAATGTGTAACAATTTAACATTACCTTTCCAATATTTACTAGCATCATTACTATGAATATCTAAAGGTAATCCTAAAGTTCTGAGAGTGTATTGCCATGTATTTTCCAGGAATCTAAAGACGAGATTGTCCACGTAAACTCACTGTCAGTTGGAAAGGGATCATGTAAACTACTATGGTTGGATCCACCACACAAAAACATATCCATAAGGAGCACACAAGCTTTGTCTAAAGGAAGCAAAAGACATAGAAAAATTTACACATGACAAACAAGTTTCCATTAGAGAATACATGATTAGCAAGATAATACAAGATGGACCTTCCTGTTGGAGGTCTTTAAAACATACTAAGTGTTCTTCCCAGGGCAAGCTGCGCCTCCCTGGTTACCTATTAACAAATAACAGTCATTGGTCTCTTTCTCTGAGCAGAAATGGAGCCTAAGACAAAATGGAGTCTGAGCCAAACCTTGTGTCAGCCATTTTAGTTAGGCCAAGTTCCTCAATTTTAAGGTGCCCACACACATTCCCTTCTTTCAATTAGGAATTTTCATAAAAATTCTTTGATCACCATTATAAGTGTGTCTTCTTCACTCAGACACTCTGATTCTGTGATTTTAAATTAGGATAAGTGCAGGGCAAGGCCACATTGGAGAAACTACTTGGTTTGCCAAAAGGCTGACTCAAGGTGTGAGGTCAATATTTTGGATAGCAAGGGGGTGAGAGTTTGATTACAAACATTAGACAGGCATTTCATACAATATTATCTTGAAGACCAATTAAAATAATTACTGACTTACCCTTAACATAACTTCCAGTCTGATCATTGAAGTTAGTTTCCCAAAACAGACTGAATTCTTCAAAAAAAAGCACAATGGTCTTACTAGTTTATCTGGACCATTATTTGACTCAAAAGTGGCTTTAGGAACCAGTTTTTTTCTCAAAGCTGAAGGTTCAAAAGGACACTCAAAGGCAATGGACTTCAACCTCCATGAAAGCCAGAAATCTGGAATCCAGGAGAATTACAACTCTTTCATCACTTCACCCCTCCACATCCTTTCCCTACTTCTCTCTAACCAGCTACATCCTTTTCCTCCCCACCACTTCCCAGAAACAGCTGTGGTTTAGTGGGCATTCTCAGGAACACAGGGGGCCTGACTCCTACCTGCCCTTGGGGAGGTGGCTGTCCACTAGTAACGCTGCTAGTTGCCCTGCCCTGTCCTTAGCCTCCTTGGCTTAGCTCTTCCCCTTGGGCATGGCTGCCCAGACTTTCCTCAGTTCCTTGAACTCCCAGACTGCACTATATTAACTTCTCGAGCTCCTTCAGTATGGCCTTTGCTGGTTCTGACCCTCTTCCTGATGGCAGGTCCTTCTTGTTCTTCAGTTCTCCAAAAAATTTCCCCACGATCAGACACTCCTAGTTTCATTAGGCTGCTGACTCCAGATCCAATTCTCTAATTCTCTAGCTGAGTTTCTTCAAGGGTTATAATTTGATATCTAAATCAATGTCATAAAAGGGAGGATTTGTTTTGTTTTTTTCTTTTAAGGCAGATTTCTGCACCCAATCCCAACTGAGAGAAACTGAATCTGTGGGCAGGTCTGCTGCCAATGTCTGTGGAACAGGCAGAATTTAGGTTCTTACTTTTTCTCCATTTGAGGCCCCTTAACAGTCTCCTCATTAGTTTTCCAGTCCATCCATCCCTCACACTGCTAGCTGATGGGACTTCATAATGTGTTTTTCTAACACTGCATCTCATTTAACATCTTAACTTAACATCTTCATGAACATATTGACTTAACTAGGGCCTGGGTCATAAATGAAATACTACTGCATTCCATCTTCATCACAACCCTATGAGGTAAGTACTATCATTATCCTCATTCATGTTGTTGTTGTTGTGTGCCATCAAGTCGATTCTGACTCTTAGCAACCCTATAGGGCAGAGTAGGGTTTCCTAGGCTGTAAATCTTTATGGGAGCAGATCCAGGTCTTTGCTCCCGTGGAGTCACTGGTGAGTTTGATCTGCTGACTTTCCTGTTAGCAGCCAAGCGCTTAACCATTGCTACACCAGGGTTCCTTATCCCCATTCATAGCTGAGCACAATAAGCAAGCAGGTGAAGGAACCCAGGCAGTGTGGCCCCAGGGTCCATGGTTGCCTTCCATTATGCTGTGCCCTCTCTGTCAAATATGTAGTGATGCCACCACCAAACTTCTCATCTGGGACTGAACATTTTCTCTAACTTGTGGCCTCATTCTCGTGTACTAGTTTCCCCTGCCATGAAGTTCCTGTATATCCAGTTGTTCTCAAAGGGCAGACCAGGGCCAGGAACATCCCAGCCATCCTTGGGCCTCTCCTCATATCTGCTGAATCAGAAATGGGGGAGTGGGCTCAGCCATCCTTGGAACATGGCTTCCAGGGGATGCTCATGCTCACTCATTCGAGAACCTTGTACCTATTTCCAGTAGTCCCAGTAGCTCTGCGGTCCTTTCAGGCTTCCCACACTTCCATGTCTTGCCTTTTCACTTGCTGCACCCTTTCTCTGAAATGTCTCCTCAAAGTTTCCTTTTCAGCTGTGTGGGACAAAGAACTAAGTTGGGTTTTTGTATCTGGTTCCTGAATATAGTTTGATCAATTAAGGTATATTTTGTCCTTCTGGAGCCCTGATGGCACAGTGGTTAAGAGCTACGGCTGCTAACCAGAAGGTCAGCAGTTCGAATCCACCAGCCGCTCCTTGGAAACCCTATGGTATAGTTCTACTCTGTCCTACAGCGTTTGCTGAGTCAGGATCGTCTCCATGGCAAGGGCTTTGGTTTTTCTTTCTAAAATAGTTAGGCCATACTTAAACATGTAAATAAGTTGGGAGTCTTCTACTCACGTCCTTGGCAACAAGCCTCAGAGAGGAATCATTGTGAGGCCTCCACTGCCCAACCCTCCGAGGCCCGCGGCTTGCCCATGTGGCATGCCATGTGGGCTTTGGAGTATAAAAATGGTTGGCTGGGGGGACCTCATGGTTTCCTCAGCTATGGTGCTAGTGGAGGTACATAACATTAAGCTTACGGTCCACCTAAGTGGATGTACCTGGCCAAGGGAAGACGGATAGTAGGTAGGCTCCCATGTGTCCCTCACCCATAATACCAGATGGAAGGCTTACAAAGTTTTTTATATTCACGGGACAGCTTCCAGAAGCCAGGGGGATTGGTGTGTCCCGTTTAAGTCCCTCACCCATGACACAAAGCGAGGTGTGAATAGAAAAGTTGTCATATCTGCCTGGATAGTTTTCGAGCCAGGGGGACTGCTCACTTGTTGTATGCTGTGTTTCTTTTTTTAAGTAATAAAAGGTACTTTTCATGTGCTAACATGTTTTCAAGCTCTGTTTCAAAGGACATGATATTTATGGAGCAATCCATATTTGTTACTGGTGTCCTTTTTCTAATGGCCTCCTGGCTATCTAGAAATCAGTTACAACCTGGGTGATACACAGCTTCAGCTGTCAGCGTCCTGTCTTTCTTTCAAGGCCAAACCCAAATGTCACTTATTTTATGAACCCTTCTCTTTCTCTCCCTCCTTGTTCTTCAGCCACCTCTGAGTTCTGTCTTCAGAATGGTCTTCCACACACTATAGTTTTTTTTTTCCTTACAATAAGTTTTTTGCTCTACCTTTATCTTTGTTGTACTTGTCCCCTTAAAGCAGGTAACTTGAGGCTAAACTTTCATGTCCTTCACAGCATCCACCACAGTCCCTGCATATAGCTAAGTGCTCAATAAAGTGCTTTATTGAATGACTATTAGTCCACCTACTGCCTTAAAGTGAACGACGTTGACAAAAAAGGGGTGATTATCCACTTTGAAAAAGTCTTGCAAAGAAGGATTCAAAATCTACTTAATTGACTGAGTAAATGTATTTAAATGATTTCATCCTCCTCTCTCATCGAAATAAGAAACATCTGTACTGTGGTTCCCAGCAACTGTCAGAGGACTTCCAGACTTGACATGCTTGCTGGTCCTTTCACACACCCCATCGCCCACACTGGACGAATATCCTCAAGTATGGTGTTCAGAGTTGAATGTGATACTTCCAGCGTGGCCTGACTTCTGCATTATGAAGAACTATCTCTTTTTGTTGTGGCCATTTTTGAGCTCCTAAGGAAACCCTGGTGGCATAGCGGTTAAAAGCAATGGCTGCTAACCAAAAGGTCGGCAGTTCGAATCCACCAGGAGCTCCTTGGAAACGCTGTGGGGCAGTTCTACTCTGTCCTATAGGGTCGCTGAGTCACAATCAACTCAACAGCAACAGGCTTGGTTTTTTTTTTTTTTTTTTTTTGGTTTAAGGTAGTTTAGGACTGCATTTGTTGACTATTAGCTATTAACTCTTTAGCTCTTGTGATTGACTAAAACTTCATTCCCCCATCCCTCAATTGAACTGCTGTTTATTAGAACCCCTCCCTCTGCCCACCCAGACAATGTGTGATCAGAGATTATATTAATGATTGATTATTGTTTCAAGAAGAAGCATAAATATTTGGCATCTTTGAACATGGCTATATAAAATAGGTTTTTGTGGTTTTTGAGTCACCACATCTAGATGTCCTCCATTTGAATCAAATACACCACTTGTACTAAAAGCTCTTGTACATCCCTCAAGCTTTCCAGATACAGGTCCACATCCTCTTTCCACAATTCCACATTCTGAAATCTGAAAGTTTTTTGTTTTTTTTTTAAACTTATTTGGTGCAAAATTTGACCTGATGATATTTATAGGCTATAATCATTCCAGTTAGTGTGAATTTTCAGGCATTTCTCTGCAAAAATATTTGATTTGATTAGTTTCCTTCCCCAGTTGTCACTGAGGTTTTACCATTAAACATTCTATATATTCATTGTATTAAAATTATGAATCCAAAAAAAGAAATAAAAAATACATCTGATCCCAAGGATAGCAGAGAAGGGATTAAAGACCTATTGTCCAAGTCCAACTTAATGAAAAAAAAAATCACAGATATTTTTGATGTCATAGATAAGGCCACTTTTGATTCTAGAAGTTCTGTGTTAACATTGCACTTTGGCCAATCCAGATTATTTGTAATATCTTTCCAATGATCTAGAAATGGAGGCCACTAAGATTGTCCTATCATTTCTAGGTTTAAGGGACATACTCAAGATCATACTGTGGCCATCTTGGAAGTATTTCTGGCACTCCTAAGTACTAAGATTCATAAGAACTCAGGAAATAGAACTTCTCCTACATATATACCTGATTAGAACTTTCTGACATCAAATGTTATGTTTTAATACACCTTCATGTTATAAAATGGAGCAACGTTATCAAAACACTTTATTCAAAAGTGTAGCCTCTATAAATTATCTTTAAAAGTGTGAATGGTGAGATGAATTTTTGCACAACTTTTCCTCCACAACTAAAAAACTAAGGGAACATTTTCCCTCACCTCTGGGTGGACTCTTGTGGAGCATTCTGTAAGTAATTCCCCTGCCCATTTAGAACATCCCACTGAGTCAGGGAGATTCCACTACAAAGGCATTTCATTTGTTTTATTTCATAAGGAAACAACATGAAGCAGAGTCAGTATATTCCCTCTGTGGCTTTAAAAGAACCTGTCTTATCAGCTGTGAAACAATGACAGTGCTGTCCATATCTTAAAGGATTATTGTGTGAGTTAATTTTTATAAAGCGCCAAGCACAAACGAGGGCACTGCGTAAATGGTAGGTGTATAGGTACCTTTGTATTATAGTCACATGTCTATCAGGTAGCACAGCAAGTCTTGTCTTCATGCAATCTTTTTAGATTCTTGACTTCATGTGGCCAAAATGTAGGAGGCAGCGAACTGGAATCTCCCTTCCTCTAGGCGTAAGTAGAAAATAAAGGAAGACACTAAAGTGAAAGGAGGTTGGTGTGAGCTTATCTGAGAGATGCTTTTGGCTGAGAAAGCATGAAGCCGAACTGGCTGTGGCATGTGGCAATTAAAATCTCAAGGGTTGGGTTACTGAGCCATAGGATGAGGATTTCTTTTACTCAGTTGAATGAAAATGTTGGTGTTTCAGTGTTGAGTACCTTTTAGCAGCTACCACTACTGAATGTAGTTTGTGAGAGCAAGATAAAGGGAAAGGAGGCACCACAGGCAGAATTGGAAATGTGTTTATACTTACAATTATGTTTCAGTGTTCTGGGTCTATTCCATTGTCTAAGTAGATAAATATAATCCTTCCTTCTACTGACTGTTTATACATGCTGAGACAAGGCTCACAGCTTCTGTGTGCAGTATTTCCCCTAAAAAGAAGGCCTGGGCAGTGTGTGTTTCCAGTGGCTTGCTGACGTTCTCTCTGCAATGGGATTTTGGCAAAACCCAGGGACCCATGCTCAGAGGAGTTAAAAATTACCAGTAGCCCCTTCTATCAAAGACACCAGTGTCAAGCCTATGAATTTTACTTTAGGTTCAGTGAGCTTCATGTTCATCAGAAAGGAAAAAGGTGCACAAGTATTAAAACATTTTCTCCTTCTTCCTATGCTTCTACACCCTCCCACGGGAAACCGATCCCTCTGATGAAAGAGAATGCTGGGCTTCTTTGAGTAGATAGCTTTGAAATATGGGTCAAACCAATGGGATGGCTCTCAACTCTGAGTGTGCATTATATTCATGTAGGAAGCTTTTAACACACACACACACACACACACACACACACTACACAACATGCAGTCAGAATCTTGGGTGGAGGGTAGATGGGCACTGCTGTTTTTTGAAGTTCTGAATAAGAACACCTGCACAGCCCCTCACTTTGCTTGTCAGTCATTAGGAGACTAGAATCCTGCTGCCACAGGAAGAGACTGTAGTTGCTGTTCCTTAAGTGTTTAGTACCATGGGGCTCTGGCACATGCTAAGAGTGGGCATTAAGGCCTGAGCTGAAGGAAGAGACATGTGGGATGAGGATCACATACTTGACTGAGACGGGAAATCAAAAGTAAAATGGTAAAAGGAAGCAGAGTTGAGAGGAGAAAACAAACTGAAAATGAATTTAGCAATTTTTCTAAAGACTTCTTTGAGTCTTAAAGAGTCTTTACACTTCCTTCCCAGGTAATATATTGTGTAGTATTTGTGATTCCGAGATAAAATGCCAATGGAGGGGGTGTCTGTAGAAAACATACCATTGTGAATCAAGTGTACCAGGAGAGCAGACATTATATGATTATAATAGTCTATCTTTGTGAACATGGCACTTGTGAATTGAGAATTTTAGAACATTTTAGAAAGGACAAAAAAAAAACACATAGGAAAAAAAGGTAAAATTTAGAGAAAAGTGGAATGTTGTATCCTTTCCCCTTGCCACCCAAGGCCTAGGCAACACATACCAAAATGAAATGTTCATGGTGCTTGTTCAGCCTATCTGAAAGCAAACTCTATTTGCCTCCATAAAGGGGTGTTCAGGTGTCCAGGCCATCCAGTTCTCTACCTGAAAACAAAGGCTAGAGGTAGAACTTGTACACGTTTTTTAAACCATCTAACCATATGGAATCACCTCTCATTTTCTCCCCAACTGGTACTCCTTTTTACGCTGAGGATGGTTTAAAATGTTAAACACAGGTAAAAATTTTGAAATGTTATTGGGCCAGATGTATTAAAATAAAATCAAAAAATAAAAATATTAGGTATGTACATGACACCATAAGTGAATGTGATACAGCATTTTCCATTCAAAGGTTACAGTAGAAAAATGTAGTAAACAAAACCTCTTGTCTCCCTTGCTACAGTGGCTCACTGGAGCCTTGGTCACTTATACTCCTTCATATACTTGGCTATAAGTAGTCTCACACACATTATACAGTGTAAAAAGACTGCAGAATCACAAAAATAGCCCAAAACACGGCATTTTTACTTTCTGGAATACATCTAAAATTAATATTTGTTCATTAAAATAAATTTCAAATCATTTGAAGCAATAAAGAGAATTCTTATGTTTCCCTTTTAGAAGTTCCCCCTATAAGGTTCTGCAGAGACTAGACTCTTTTTGTTTTTCCATACTACATTGTCAAAAAAGTCTGTATATAGGGAAAAAGGGAGTCATGGAATTGAAAAGCTGGACTGTTAGAAACATTCCTTTTTAAGACAGAGCAGTTTCTGAGGCAAGGTGTGGTGTCTTCTCCATCTCCTTGGAGGTCTGGCTGAGCCCTGCAAAGTCGCTGAGATCCGCACCCCCTACCACGGCTCTTTGCAGTCTCACAAATGACAGTTCTACAGAAGGAATGAAAGTGCCTCTGCAGCTTCCAGTCTTGCGGGTCTGTGTGCGCAGTCCCCATGGAAGGAAAATGATTAACAGTCTCAAATTCCAGGGGGAAGGAAAAAACACTGAAATCTGGGAAAGACATTTTTAAGCTGCTGACTTCACCTGCAAAATCTAAAAGGTTGGATTAGTAAAAAAAAAATTTTTTCAAAATAAGCCAAAGCATACAGAAATTACAAAGAAGTGCCATGATGAGCATTGGGTTATTTCAATGTTATAAATGAGTATCATTCTGCTACTATTTGAGATTTGTTGCAGTGGTCTCTGAACCTTTGGGTCACAGGTCCAGTTGTATATACGGGGCCAGAGTGGGTGCATTTTAGGTAGAACAGGTGTTCTCTTCTCAGAAGATTGGATTCAGAGATTGGTCTTGCACAGCAAGATGACCAGCTGAGGAGCAGTCCAAGCTGTAAACCAGTGGACCCTAATCTAGAAGAGAATCCTTTTCCATGTAGAGGGTGTTCTTCCTGAGTAACTTAGCCTCTGCTGTCAGGAACGAGGCACGGTTGATGGTCTGAGTACATGAATAACTAGTGCAGCCAGTGTTTGTGATTTCTTCTTTTGAAACAGGATGGCTGCCCTGGACACAAGTCTCCCTGTGTGCTAAGGCTGCTGCTGATACTGCCCTTCTGTTGCCGTGTAGAAGTCATCCAGGACACTCTGCAAGTAATCGAACGTGGGCCTCTCTTCTGCCTTCTCCTTCCAGCACATCTTCATGATGTCGTAGAGCTCATCGGGGCAGTTCTCCATTCGGGGCATCCTGTAGCCCTGAGACAGGGCAGTCATCACGTCAGCATTGGTTCTCCCTATGGCAAACAAAACATACCATTTAGAAGCCGAACCAGACAATCAAGTATGGTAGTGTTCTTTGTTACCCACATCCTGCAGCCATTAATAAAGCAAGCTGTAGAGTCTAAAGAAATTTCTGTTAAGAAACTAAGTATGTATATTGTAGTATGGAGGGGTCAATACAGCATTCAGTTAGCCAAGGAGAAAACAGGCAAACGTGGCTGGTAGAAGACAAAGTACATTTCCTTTAATAGCAAAAGGATATTGGACTTGACTGACCTTTTGAATTAACCCCTAAAAAACTAAACTCGTTGCTGCCAAGTCAATTCCAACTCACAGCAACCCTACAGGACACAGTAGAACTGTCCCATAGGGTTTCCAAGGGGTGGGTGGTGGGTTCGAACTGCCAACCTTTTGGTTAGTAGCTGAGCTCTTAACGACTGCACCACCAGGGCTCTTGAATTAACCATTCGACTCCAAATCCTAACCCTCCATCTCAATTTCTTTTTTTTAACATCTACCTGTATTTCATTTACCAAAAATGTTTTTTTAAATAAATTTATTATGGTAACAAAACATTTGACATTTCAACAATCTTCACAGTTCCATTCAATGGCATTAAATATGTTCATCATATAGTTCAACTATTACCATTGACCATTCCTGAATTTTCCCACCACCTTTAACAGAAGCTTAGTGTCCGCTAAGTAACAAATCATTTTCACATACATTATTTCATGCCAATACTGTTTTTAAATCAGCTTTTTGTTGCAAATTTACTTAAAAACATCAGCATCCTAAACTCAGCTAAACCAATTGTGAAAAATAGTTCAAAACTGGAAAGGAACAGGGAGTCTGGTAATCTGGTGGATACCTGCCTGTAGCTGGGGCTATGTGTCTTGTGGGAGTCACTGTCTTCTAAGAAAAAGGTACTAATCGAGAGCAGGAAAATCAGGCCCAAATCCCAGCTCTCAAGTGGAGCTGCTTCACAGGCTCAGCATTGTTCTAGTCTCAGTACACGCCAGAGTCAAGCCTCGAATTTGCATATTCTCAACATTCTGGGAAGGAACCAGGCTGTTCTTAGTTCTATTGAGCTCTGCAAGATGACTGAAAATGTAAGGAGGCTTTTAATGTGGTCAAATGCCTCAGGGTAGTTCAGAAGCTGAGCTGCGGATCTCTGATACTGAGAATAGCTTTCAGAAAGAACAAGATCATTTTAGCAATAACATTTTCCAACATTATTATAATGGGATACAGAAATGTGCTTGTTTAGTGGTTGTAGTACAACTTATCCACATCTGGATGGTTTGCATATTTTGCAGGGATGGGTGCTCCTCTGGAGAGGAGTTGTATTTCATGCAGAGTGTATACAATATCTGCCATATGGGAAGAACTCCACTCCATACCCAATTTCCTTTCCATAACTATCTCCTTTCCATACCTAGATTTTACCACTGGCGGTAACTGGAAAGGTTTTAAAAGATGCTGTTGTTATTAGTTGTCACTGAGCCGGCGACCCGATGTACAATGAAATGAAACACTGCCCGTTCCTATGATTGGTTGCAGATCAAACTGTTGTGATCCATAGGGTTTTCATAGCTGATTTTTGGAAAGCCAGGCCTTTCTAACTAGACTGTTTTAGTCTGGAAGCTGTGCTGATACATGTTCAGCATCATGGCAACATGCAAGCCTCCCTGACAGATGGTGGTGGCTGCACATGAGGTACATTGGCCAGGAATCAAACCCACGTCTCCTGTGTGGAAGGCAAGGTTTCTACCACTGAATCATCACTGCCCTCTTCTAAAAGATAGCTAAAAGCTTTAAGGAAAGTGGCTTTTTCTAGATTTGATATAGAATCTTCTTTTGAATTTATTCTTCAATCAGAGTTTTTGAAATTGTGGGTAACACCCCCTTGAGATCAACAAATTTATTGTTTTTTTGGGTGCTACCAGTATTTTATAAAATGAATTATAACACAATAAAACAGACAATCTCACAATGTACTGCACATAGTAAAAGTCAGTATGTTGATTTCAACTCATGGTGACCCCGTGTTGTGTCAGAGTAGAACTGTGCTTCAAAAAGTTTTCTTTTTCTTTTATTTATTTTGTTGTTGTTGTTGAAAATATACACAGCAAAACATATACCAATTCAACTCAGTATGGTGTCGTGAAACTTTGGTTTTATATAGAGAATGGATCCCTGTGTATTTCTTACCATGGGTCATGATCAATAAACTTTGAGATCCTGTGCCCTTAACTAACCGTTCTTCCTCTTGGGACAGGTGGAGTACACGGACTGAGGGGTCCTTCCCAATTTAAACCCCTGAAAGAAGAGATGATTCTGTCTTGGTAGAGCCTTTGATTTTGCAACTGCAAGATCCACACAAACTTTATAATTGTTCAGATCTCTTGAGCATTGTTTACATGATGAATTAATTTTGCTCAAGTCTACTTATGAAACACCATCTTCAAATATTTATGTAACTGGAATTTTCTAACTGGAAGGCTTCATTGGACTCTCGTTGCCTGAAGCCAAGGGACAGATTTGCATCACTTTATTTGGGATTCTGGGCTCAATAATATGATGTGGCTTCAGCGCTGCTCTGGCTTTTGTAACTGGCAAAGCTAGCTCACTTGGATACATTTCAGAAAGAGTATCTGTGTTTACTTCTACATGGGACTGAGTGAAGCTCTGGGATCCTAGTGGGAGGACTAGCATCCGAGATGATACAAACAGCAGCTGGACCTGCAAACTTGGTTAGGAATATCTCTCCCACTTCCTTCCTAGAGAGTCCTCTGCTGCATAGAAGGTCAGAATATGCCCACAGAAGAGAAACCTTTCCAGGGCCCCTCTGCCCCACTGCAGACTGTTTCCTCCTTATTCATTCTTGTGAGTTCTTCTGACTGAAGAACTCTCAATGATGTAAATAAAGGCCAAGTGTATGCCATCCTGCCTGGGGAGCATGGCTTGACAACAGTAGTTAGAAACAAGAATCTGAAGTCTCTCTTTTTGTGTGTGCAGGTAAACCAACAAACAAAACAGAGTTAATATATGATGAGTCTTATGAAAGAGAGAAAGAAGGGAGAGACTTCAGCCAGCCCCCAAGATCACATCTAATACCTGATAATTGGTCTGTTGCTTGGTTAAGGAAAGCAAACACCCATTGGCAAGTGATCTCAAAAGGTAAACAATTTTATATTCCACCATGCATTCTTTCAACAAGCTTTTATTTTATGGGCTAGCAGCTAGCACTGAGCTCTGAGAGATACAAAGATGACTAAGACAGAGTCTTGTCCTCACATGGCACAAAGCCTAATGGGGAAGAAATGCAGCCTCAGGAGAGCCATAGGGGGTGGGTGGGCAGGATGAGACATCAGGAGAGGGTAGGAATTAGCTGAGACTAAAAGTTGGTGGAGGTCCCTGGGTGGTGCAAATGGTTAATGCACTCAGCTGATAACCAAAAGGCTGGAGGTTCAAGTCCACCCAGAGGTGCCTTGGATGAAAAGCCTGGTGATCTACTTCTGAAAAATGAGCCATTGCAAACCCTATGGAGCACAATTCTACTATGACACTCATGGGGTTAAAAGTTGGTGAAGGAGCACAGGAAGGAGAAAAATGGGGGTACAGCAGCGACTGGAAAAGGGATAAGTAGTTAGCAACAGTAGATGGGAGCCTAGCAACTCCATGAACTATAACAGTCTTTAAAGACACAGGGGCCCTATGTGAGTACGGAAGGGAGGAAGTACCAGTTACTGTGGGACCACAGTCTCCAACCCAATAATACTCCTTCCAAAAGAGCAACTTATTTTTTTCTGAACACTGATTGTGACAGAGGGGAGCATTTGCAGCAGAGTGAGTTTCTGAATTCTAGTAAGAAACAGCCAGAAAAGACATGCCTGTGATGGTTAAGGTTGTGTATCAACTTGGCTGGGCCATGATTCTCAGTGGTTTGGAAGTTATGACATAGTTTGGCAGCCATGTAGTAATGTAATCACCTTCATAATGAAATCTGATATAATGTAATCACCTCCTTGATGAGATCTGGTATAAACAGCCAATCAGTTGAAAGTGAGTTTCCTTGGGGGTGCAGCCTGTACAGTGGGATGGATTGCTTTTGTGTCTTGTAACTCTCACCCACGTGATTAGGTGGGGCTGTGCATATAGCGTAATTGTGGTACACCAAAGGGACTGGTCAGATTTGCCATCCTGCTAGGCTTGAAGTGAGCCAACCCAGAGACAGGAAGGAGAGGATCCCACCACCACCAAGGAAGAAGAGCCAGCATGTGTTTTGGACCTGGGATCCGTGTGCTGAAAGCTCCTGGAACCAGGAGACCAAGAGAGACAGAGAGAAAGAGACAGAGAGAAACGGCAGGAGACTGTACAGTGGGCTTCCTGGCCCACAGAGTGAGAAAGCTGAGTGTATCTGGGTTGAGGCTTACTGGTGGAGTGGGGTGCCTCTGGACACTTATTGGCAGAGCTAAAAGAGCTTTGTAACACTTGCCTGTGCATGGCAAAGGCCAAGGGGCCAGAGAGAGGCACGCCTGTGGCACAGCTGGGAAGAAGCTGCCCTGATGGAAGAACCATATCCTGAGTGTTCCTGAGCCTGAATTGTAACCTGTTACTTCCCTAATAAACCCCATAATCGTTGAGTGTTGTCTCTGAGTTCTGTGTGGCCATTACAATGAATTATCAAACCCAGCAGAGAGGTAGAGAGTACTGTGGGGTGTATGGTTGGTGTCAGAATTGGCAAAGATGGTGGAGACAGGAGGCACGTCTGACCTCCACCTCATGACGGTCAGGCTTGGGTTGTTGATCTTGATTCTCCTTTCCCCTTGTGAAGTTGGAGGCAGTCAGATGCCACCCCCACACCATTTTTACAGCCTGCATCCAACGTATGTGGACTTTCTGGCAAAGTTAGCGGGCTTTTGGTGCTTGAATCCTGCAGCTGGCTCCTGTTCATCTGACCTCTGGCTCTTGGGACTTGAGCTAGCAGCTTACCTGCCGATCTTGGGAT